GGATCAAACTCGTAGAAAAGTCAGTTATAAGAAGATCATAGACAGGGCATAAGGCTAAAGTAAGAGATGTAGCCTACATTGAAACTTTGATCCTAGAGGCAGGAACTGATGAAATAGAATGAATTGGTTCAAAGTAAGGAAAACCTTGATCCAATGGACTTATAAGTGGACCACAGTGGGGTTAAAGTTAGTGACTAGTTGAACACCTGGGGTTTATATCCATTGCACTTGACCCACTATTTTGTTGGCAGCTAAAGGAACATGGATCCTGGCTGCCTCACATTCACAGAAAGTGACTCTGGGATCTTAAATCCAGGACAATCACTTGATCCAAATTGAATAAGACGAATTGAAGGTAGTTAAAGAAAATCTTACCTTGTGTTTCTTGCTGCTTATGTGATTGATGACTCAAAAATAACAGGTATGCGGGCCTAAATGAAGCTGTGCAGGACAACTAGAGGGTATAAAAACATAATGAAGAATTGAAATAGAAAAGTGTTGGTTGGTTTAAAGTAATAGAGTTAAAAGAAACATTTAAAGGATGAAAGGAGTAACAAAGGTCAAAGGCAGGAAGTCCCATAAGCTTTCCCCCTTTTGCTTTCTATGCAAGACCGAATCCTTTACCATAGAAGGAGTCCAATAGAAGGCTTAATTGTGGGGCCTCCCTGGTGGCACAAGGGGTTAAGACATAACCTATGAAGTTATTCACAGTCAATGAAGCATGGTTTCAATCCCTGGCCAGGGAGCAAACCACATTGGGCAGCAGACCTCTCCTGACTTGCCCACTGCTTCCCTCAGCAGTGTACTTTGGTCAATCTGCCTGTTCTGTTCCCCACTCTGTCTCTGGTGAATCCTCTCACCGCCCCCACCCCCACACCTCTTGTTGCATAAATAATCTTGTATGCATAATCTTTTTTTTTTTTAAAGAAGGCTTAATTGTGTAGCTGTCCACTTTATCTTTTCTTCTATTTATTTCCCCTTTACCATCTCAGACCAGGAGTTCAGTTTCTTTTTTTTTTTTTTTTTAATAGAGGCATGTTTATTTATTTATTTATTTATTTATTATATTTGTTTGTTTGTTTTGTTTATACATGCACTGGGTACAGTCAGAAGCGCAGGAGGGTGAGAGAATTCACCAGAGCCAGAGCGGGGAGCAGAGCAGGCAGAAGGACCGAAGTACACTGCTGAGGGGAGCAGCGGGTGGCAGGAGAGGTCTGCGCACCATGTGGGATCCTCCTCCGGTGGCCGGGGAGCAGCCGGGGATCGAACCGGCGCTGCAGAGGCCGCGGGCAGCTTCGCAACCCAGCGCTCAACCGCTGCGCCACCGGGGAGGCCCCCAGGAGTTCAGTTTCTAAAGTAGCAAAATGAATCTCTTGATTCATTCAATTGTACAAAAAATGTATAATTAGCAATAATTTAAAAACTTTTTCAGATGTATATCAGGCCTTGCCCTGGAGGTACTAACTTTTGTTAGAGTGGGTCATATCAAAAAGTGAAGCTTATCTCAAATAATTAAGGAACTATTCACAATATTCTAAGCAGTTCTCAAATTATAAGTGTCGATGTTGCAGATTTCTTGCAATCTCAGCACTCAGCACAAATTGATGTTGTTGCTGCTACTCAGGTTGGGGAATAAGATGAAGAGATTCACTTTCCTTGTACATAAATTTAAGAAGATACCAAATAATAATCAAGATGAATGATATTATTGCAATATTTTAAATCAAAATCAACAAAAGTTTATTTTGAACAAAATATCAATTGGATGAGCAAATATCGACAGTTTAAAGACAGAGAGGGTCAGTGCTTCAATTCTTTTTTGCTTCTCTGATGAGAGATATTTGGCCTAAGAACAGAGAATGTTCCTCTAAATTATGTATTTACTAATATACTCCCTAGCATTAAAAACATGGGATATAACTTTCTTTATATAGATATTATACTACTAAATTTTGATTCCATTGAATTTATGAAATCATTTGCCTCTCCCATTTCCTCTCTCAATTTTATTTTACTAACAGTGAGAAATTAAGGAAACTTCTGATCTTTCCTGGAAACTGAGATTGTCTTCATTGTAAATAGCTCCTGAAGCAACCTGCTATAACTGGACATAATTTTTCCCACTGCACTGAATAGCATCTCTATGCAAAAGTCCCTCAAGTTTTGACATATGTGTCAAGGTACTTTCAATGATGTGTGTTTACAAACTTGACATATAAGTCTCAGCATCTTCCTACATTATGGGTAACTTTTTGACTGATGTTAGACATTCTGCCATAGAAAAGGAGGCATATGTGGTTTTTGAAAGCATATGTAATTCTTAGTGCCAGACTCTGCACATTTTCTATTAATCTCTGTTGCATCTATACCTCAGGGACTTTGGACCCCACTAATATTTCAATGGTATGTTCCAACCACAATTCAAAATCTTCCTCTCAACTTCCTGGCATTGGACTCCCTCTTATACCACCCCAGCCTAAGTCTCTAGATCATAGATAGCATAAAGCTTTTAACCTAGTGTTCAAACACTGGTGCTAATGTACTTTTCAATAGTAATCCAGTTATAGCTAATAGAGCCAATTAGGTGACATAATTAGCCCAAGTATATACGCCATACACCTCTTTCATATCCTTGACATATGGGGTCAAGATTGGTTTAAACACAAATGTATAGGTGAGTACTTCACAAAGGAGTTTCTTTGCTCTATTCTAATCAACTCACAAAACACTGGGCCTGTGAGACTCTCTTGGTAAAATTTTCAATATTCAGTCATAAATTATCTAAGAGCTTTTCCACAGCATCACTCTGACTTTTGTTTCCTTTACCAAAAACCTGCACTGTCCTTAGTGCTTGGAAATTTGAGTTTATAGTGTAGGGAAGATTTTGAAGCCTGAAGTCACATACATTCCACATTTTAGAATTTAGGGAGTTAAGGAGGAACCAACAAAGGAATAAGGATGTAACAGTTAATGAGAAGAAACCAGGAGCTCCTAAAGGCCAAGGGAAAAATGTGTTGTAGAGGATGCTGTTCTGAATGATGGCCAAATATGGTGGGAAAAAGAGAATTAGCCCTTGTATTTTATAAAAAGGAAAGTATGTCACTGGTTTCTCTTGACAAAAATATCTTCAATGGAGATGGTGAAAGGCCTGGATGAAGCATGTTCAATAAGAATGAGAAGAACAAAACTAGGGTCAGTGAGTGTAGACAATAATTTTGAGAAGTTTGCTGTAAAGAAAAGAGAGGACAGAAGTCAACAATGTAAGGAGAACAGATTTTAGCTTTTATCTAAATTGAAAAAAAAATGGCAGTTTGTATGCTTATGGGAAGATAAAAAGGAAATATAGGGGAAAGAGGAAAGATTTACTGGAATGATGGTCTTCAGTAGGGAAGAAGTTATTGGTAAGTACACCAGTGAAACGGTGGCCTTTTGTTAGGAACAGAAGAGCTTATTCATAGTAATTAGAAAGGGAGCCCAATATATGGACCCAGATGCCTATCTGCACAGATTTGTGATGGGTTCCCCTGGTAATTTTCTTCTGATACTATCTTCATTCTCAGTAAAATGGGAAGCCAGAGCCTGAGCTGAGGTTGAGCATTTAAACATGCAGACATGAAATAATTATCTAAGAGAGTAGGAAGGTTAAAGAACTAGGATAATACATGGTAAACAGAATACCAGGCCAGAAATACTAAAGACTCATTTCAGGTTAGTAATCACAAGTTTATTTTTTTCTCAAGTTTTATTGCTCTGCCACCAGTTTGCATAACTCTATAATTTGGGAGTTACATCTTTGTCCTTCCATATGTTTACATGCCTCACTCACCATCCACCACATCTCTAGTACTACAACGTGCCCATCACCTTTCCTGCCATAACCTTCCTCTCTCCACACATCCCCTCTGGTAACCAGGGCATTTTCCACTAAATATAAAAAGTATTCTTATTGTTTTGTCAGTTTATTTTCTTAGACTACTTATATTCCACAAATGAGTAGTACCATCTACTAATTGTCTTCTACTTTCTAGCTTATTTCACTTAGCATAATCACCTCAAGATACATCATTTTATACCAAAAGGTACAGTTTCATCTCTTTTAACAGCTGAGTAGTATTCCACAAGTACATGAACTTAAAGTGAAGTAGTTAATTATCATCTAGTCATCAAGATTCATTTAGTTGTATAGATTTGGGTATAAATATTAAGCAGGAAATTTTATTTAATTAGAGTTGTACTTCATAAAAAGAGGAATAGCAAAATGAGAAAGGAGTAAAGATTTTGAATCTGTATGTATTATAGTGACAATAATAATTGATGAGGAAGTTAAAGCAGTGGATGAGAAAAAGCATAAAGTGGTAGAATGGATAATCAGAGTCCTTGGTGGGTATTATGTTTTCTGGATTTGGGGTACAAAAAATGAATCAGAGTAAAACTATAGATATGTCGATGATGACAGGAGAGCAATAGAAATATGTGGAAAAAAATGAGAGAAATACTTGACATTGAAATTGAAATTAAGGACAGGATGTGATTATGGTTATGGCAAGGTCTAAATAGTAACATTGAGAAAAACAGATAAGGACAAGTATAGGACAAGGTCATTGGGGGAAGGAAGACCAAGAACTAAGTAGTCACATCATAAAGGACCATCTATGTAAAAACTGAAATTAGTAAGAATATTGAGTCATATAAAAGAGTGTTTGCTGGGAGCAAGATTTTTCAAGGCAGCAAAGGAAATAAACATTTATACGAAAGCCATTGTTCTCTCTGACATCTACTAACAAAAATGGATAATTTTCTCCTTACCATTTTAGATAAATGACAAAAGAGAGCAAGTAAACACATTCAAAGCAGGATGAATTGAACACTGTTACTGTTGACTGCCTATCCAGCATTCTTTTATCACTTTCTCCTTTTTACATGAACTCTGCTTTGTTCCAGTACAACACCTTATTGAAACATGTGCAAAAAAGAATGTTAATATTAGCTCTCACTTTCAGCTGACATCTGATTGTGTTAAGAACGATGGAACACCCTTACCAGTGATGGGCTAAGGAGTGAAATGTGCCCTAGCGTGTGCCAATGAAGTGCCACCAAGGTTCCCCAGAGCTTCTAAGTAAGTTCCTCCTAAACTAGTTTTTGCCTTTAGATGACTTTCAGAAGGGCAATATTTTTCATTTCAGTTGATATCACATATGGATGTAATAAAGCCTGTTCTCCTCTTTCTATCAGGTGGAAGATAAAAAGAAAAAAGGAAAGTCAAAAAACCACAAATTGTGTTTACCCTTTTGATGGGAATTTTCTCTTACTTGGATAAAAAAGGATACTCATATGCGAAGAATATTACAAGTGATTGGTGAAATTATTTGGATTAGTTGTATGAAAATATAAATGAAAGCATACTTTACTACCTTTATGGTGTGGGTCAATTTTTTATGGCTATATTAAACTACTGGTCATGATTATTCTTGAGATTACCTGTAGGTGTTCTATTACTGGTTTTAGAAAAGGAATGAGTCTCTTATTTTATAAATTGAGACTGTTTTAGTTCCCATGATATGAAATAAACTAATGTTGTCCTAGACCATCTATAATGGAAACAAATTTATTGGGAACATGAGGGTAATTGGAAACTGGTATTGGTGATCAAAAGTGTGTCAGAGAATATGGAACAGCTTCAAACAAGGGTACATAATATTCTCAGAGAAAAAAGAAAGTAATTATAATAATAAGAAAAAAATTATCACTGTGGTATTTAAATAATTAAAATACATTCTATAGAAAAAATAAAAATCAACTGAAAATTAATTTTTAGCCATGTAGTTCTCAAAGTATTAAGAGAAACTGAATTCAGTGTCCTAATATACAACTATGAGAGCAATTTTGCCATTATGCCTAAATGACCACAGAAATAAGTTAGAAAAATAGTCATATTAAATAAGAAACCAAACATGACAGTAGAAGTAAAATAAATATATTCAACTCAGATGCACAGAAAGAGGAAATCACTCTTGGGAAACAAAATGGATTTTCTTGTATAATTAAGGAAGCATATAGACTTTTGGATCACTGTTATCAGTTATTCCTTGCAAGTGAAGTGAGATTAATCATCCTCACACATTGCTCTGTGATTTTCAATGATCCCCCTACAGATGTCAAGCTTGCCAATAAAATATTAACAAGTGGGTTTAATGAAGAATCTTTAGGGGGTCACTTTAGGTTTAGATTCTTTTGCTTTTGCTTTGCCACAAGTAAAGCATAACCCCTAAAGGATTTATTCTTCAATATGGATCCTACAATGAAGTGAACACATAGTATAAAGTCAAAGATAACCCAAAGCACATACAAAAATGAAAACAAGCTTTTTGCTGTAAGACAAATAGCTTTGGGTTGTTATTACAGCATAACCTTGTACACACTGACTAATATAAAACATTCAAACAAAACATGCACATACGGAGCCTAAACAAGAAATTTCAACTATTTTAATGAAAATCCATGTTAGAGTCAAAAGAGACACATATAATGACACATATGTATCAGAATATTACATATGCATAATTAGAGCACATTGGGAGATAAAATTAGAGTCACTGTATTAGGCAAAAATAAAAAATTATTTTCTTCTTCCCCCATTGCTCTTCATCTTGTTGCCCCTCATGCATAGATCCTCCAGATGTTTCCAGAAATACCTTTTCCCATACCAACAGAGATGGCTGCAAGATTTGTCTTCTCGGTTATCCTGCAGCAACTACCATTTTTCCCCTTTCTGGCTCTGCTTGCTGCACAGATGTCTTTTCTATCTGCCAACAAAGAAAGATGATTTCCATAGCTAGTGCTCACCAGGGGCACTGTCATTGCTGTTCATATCTCCTGGAGTTTGTGCTGAAGCTTCTGATGCCAGATATCCAGAGAGCTGATATCTACAAAACAGCATGGTCTATATCTCTGATAAAGTGTCAGATGTTAACTAAACTTCTTTCACCAAGTCTGTTGAGTCCTGATGCTACTAAACCCCTCAGAAATTTTAGTAAAACAGCTAATTTACTTTCTTTTCCATACTCTCCTCCCTTTCTTCTCCCTGTGTTGCTTCTATTCATGGTACTGGGCCAGATGACTTTTTAACTAACTCCATTTTGTGCTCAAAGTGGTCCCTGCTTGACTTTGCTAACTTAAGACCTTTGAATCCCACATTTTTAACACCACACAAGGGGCAAATTCTTTCTCAGGTGGGTATATAGTCTTCTATATAACTAGATCTTTGCCCCAACCATGTGCCATGTCCCAAAATTTATTCAACAGCTGTGTGTTGAATGTTTGTTCCCCATTGGACAAAAAGATACAGTGATAAGTGAGAACATAGTCTTGGCCCTAAAAATCTTAAAGTGCAAGGGAAATATTGAAAAGTAATTGGAAAATTGTTATGGAACTAATTCCAATTTACTATAGGAAACTAATGAGGGCGGGAAAAAAAAACCTACTAGTAGTGGTCAGGAACAACGTTCCTGGAGAAAGCATATCTAATCTCAAATGAGATAGATGAGAGGAATTATACCACCAAGTAGCAAGAACAAAAGCAGCAGAAGGAATAGTATTTAGAAAGGTCTAGAACTGAGAGCATGGTCAGTGTGAAGAAGTGTATTCTCTGTGCCTGGTAGTGACCTAATACATGGTAACTTCTCAATAAGAAGGAAAGCATGAATAATTTCAGATTGTGAGTATCAGGAAGACTGACAATATATGTTCCTGGAAAGAAAAGTAAAAAAGGTCACAAGAGTCCATGTAATGGTGAGTATTTTGTGAGATCAGGGAGAAGTTGATAACCATTGAAAGAGTTTAATAAGGAGATTATTACATATATATACTTCTGTCATGTTACAACAGAATGATTTAGATTAGGGTTAAGATTAAAATAAAGGAGTCCTAAGAGGACATTGCAGTCATCAGCTAATTGAGTTAATAAGTAATATTTTGTTATTTAGAAAAAAACCAAACCTATGTCACTGGAGGACAGAAATTCTAGTGAAGACCATGACAGCCTTCACTTTCCCCTCAAACCGTAGATAGGTGTCTTCCTGACTTGGCATCTATCTTCCTTTTGCTTAGAGCATTCACTTCACCAAACTTATAATTGTAAATTCTTTCCCCATTCTTTGAGATGTAATCATCAAAAAGATAGTGCCCCTTCTTGCAGTTTCTCTGGGAAGGTAGGAGCCTGACTTAGTTGCTCTCAATTATAAAACTATCTCCTGTCCTGGGCATAGAAGAAAGTTTATTTTCCTTTGGATAAAGCTAATTAGAAAGTCAGAAACTAATTAGAAATCAGATGGCCAAACATCCTTCTGAGCTAACTTTAAAAAATCTCTCCCACCTTTTAATAGTATAAAACTGAGAATCCAGATTTGGTCTGTTCTCTTTCCTCTATTATACCCAATAGAATCAGAATAAAATCAATTTCTATTTAAGAGAAAAAGAATGTGGTAGCAGCTAAATGTGTCAAATACTATAGAGATACAAATAAGACAATCAATCTATCCAATGAACTTGAACAGCAAGGAAGGAAGTTATGACTTTGAAAAAAAAATTGGGATAGAATATTCGTGAGAGCGAGACATTTTTAACTCATATTGGATGCTCCAAGATAGTTTGACATTTTAAAAACTGCAAAGAATAAGAAGGTCCAGCTTGAATAGAGAGATTAGACTTAAGTAATTTTTCAGTTTCAAGCAGCAAAAATCAACTTCACCTAACTAAGGGCAAAATGGAAACTTTTTCCAAAGCCTGAAGGGCCCTGAAGGGCCTGAATGTAATCCAGATCAGAAAGGGTGTGGGATTTATAGTAGAATGTGGTGTGCAGACTCCAGAGAGGTTCCCAGTAACCCAGCCTCTTAGTAAGTATGTACATTTTAATCTTCCATTGAGTAATGCTGGACCTACTCTTACTCTTATGAATAAAATATAAAAGTGATACAATGTCATTTTGCATATTAGGTTACAAAAATATTGTCACTTCTGTCTGGATTACCTCTCTCCCTTTCCCAGTTTTTGCTTATTAGAGTATGTAGCTACCATATGTTTGGGGGAGGGTATGTGTGTGTATGGGTGTTTGTGTGTGTAGATAAACCATGTCTTTAGTTTGAAAGAGATCTACAAATAAAAGGAATTTTGTCCAATGATCTGTACTTAAGAAACTGCATCTGAGAATTTTCATCTGCACTTGAGCCTGATTTATATTAAGTGCCCCTGGGTTTTGAGCTACTATTATAATAAGATGAGACTTTTGGGGATCCTTGGAGAGGTTGGATATCTTCTGAACATGTAGGGAGATATATCATTGGAGGTAGAGGGTAGACTGCAGTAGGCAACCATTAAAAACTCTTCATTAATCTTTACCTCCTGGTATTTTTACTCTTGGGTAATCCCCTCTTCAGGAGTATGAACTGATCCTAGAAACTCTTTTCTAATGATTAAAATACAGCAAAAGTGATAGGATATAAATCTCAAGATTAGCTTACAAAATGGCTATGATTTCTGCCTGCTTTGTCCTCAGTCTCCATCATTGTCCCTCCAAGACATCACCCTAGGAGAACAGCTTTGAAGAAAGCAAGAAGCTCTGTGAAAAGGTCCATGTAGGAAAAAAGTGGTATCTCATGTCAATAGCCAGAAAGAACCTTAGGCCTACCAGTGGTCACATGAATGAACTAAGAAGGGGTGATGTCCTGCCAGTTAAGCCTTGAGATGATTATCACAGCAAACACTTGATTGCAGCTTTTTTTAAAAAATTTTTAAAAAGATTTATTTATGCATGCAAGAACTGGAGTACAGGCCAGAGGTGCAAGGAGTGAGAGGATCCACCAGAGACAGAGTGGGGAGCAGAACAGGCAGACTGACTGAAACACACTGCTGAGCGGAGCAGTGGGCGAGACAGGAGAGGTCTGCTGTGCCATGTGGGTTGCTCCCTGGCTGGAGATCAAACTCATGTTTCAGTGGCTGCCGATAGTTTCATAGTGTTGAGACTTAACCCCTTGCGCCACCAGGGAAACACCTTGATCACAGCTTTATGACAGGCCCTGAATGCTACCCAATAAAGCCCTATTTGGATTGTGAATACACACAATCTGCCAGATAATAAATGTTTTGTTTAACTTCTATTTTTTGAATAATTTATTATACTACAATAGATAACTAATATAAGAAACATTAACCAGGAAACACAACTTGATCTGAATATTCTCTCCATGTCTATTCTTTCTTTTTTTTTTTTTTTTAATCTCTCTTCCCATCATGGTAGAAAAGACAGATGTCCTTGGGGCCCAGGTACTGAGAGAAGTAATTGAATTAATTGAAG